GAAGCCCATGGAGCCTTTGAGAGTCTCAGCAGAGTTTGGCTCAGCAGGGAGGGAGGGCGAAGGGAAGTTATGGCCCCATCCTCCCTCTTCTCCTCCAGTGTAGCCGTGTTTCTGCAGATTCAGGGATGGCTGTGTCCTGTCCCTGGGCCCTCTTCTTCATCCGCCCCCATTGACCCTTCCTCCTGTGGCAGGATGAACAGATGGCCCGGGAGCGGCGTGGCCATCAGGTGGAGGGGGGCTGCTGTGCACTGGTTGTACTCTACCTGCTCGGGAAACTGTACGTGGCCAATGCAGGCGACAGCAGGTATGAGCGGGTGAAGCGCTCCTGCAAGCCCCTAGAGGGAATGGAAGAGACAGGAGACACAGGGATGTGGGGCATGAAAGAGAGAGGCATGGGAATGACATTCTCCAAGATGAGAGCGAATTAGTTGAGGTCATAGACAGAAAGAAACACCCTACAGAGAGGAGAGACAAGGCTCTGGGTGAGGGGACCGTAAGGTCATCCTGGGGAAGGTCTGATCTTGCAGGAATTCCCCAGGAGGAGACTGGGCAGAACCAGGGCCCAAACCCTTTCCTCTGGTAGCAGAGGGAACATCACATGGGGCTTTTCTTTATGTGGCAGGGCCATCGTTGTCCGGAATGGTGAAATCATTCCAATGTCCCGGGAGTTTACCCCGGAGACTGAGCGTCAACGGCTTCAGCTGCTTGTAAGTAGGAACAGAATTCGCTAGCCCCATTTCTGCGTTGGGCCTTGTGACTCTCTAAAGCCTATGTCCGCCATCCCAAGAACTTAGACACCAGCCACGTTCTCAGCCAGCTCCTCTGGTTTGCTAGGGAGCCCGCCCCGCAGACTGGGCTGCAGGGCTGAGCTGGGAGTTGATGCAGCTAGGTAGGAGCCTAGGCTAGTCCAGTGTTCCCTCTGTGGCCCCAGCCGAAGAAGGAAGTAGAGCCAGTAGTGGGGAAAGGAAATAGCCAAGACTCCTGAGAGGGTAACCTGACTGTGGAGTCCAACTTCCTGGGGTGGAACCTGGGTTCAGGTTCTTGGCTGGTTGTGTGATCCTTTAACAATCCCCTTAACGTGTCTGGGCAGCAATAGTCCCTGTTGTAAGGATTGCTGGCATGAAAAGCGTTAATAGGCGTTCATATTAGAAGTGCCTGGCAACATAGTAAAATCTGAGGGTTTCCTGTGGCCACCATATGTAGAGTAGGGCAGGAGCCCTGGTGACATAGTGCTTGCATGTTGGACTGCTAACCAGCAGTTTGAAACCACCAGCTGCTCTGTGGGAGAAAGAGGAGGCTTTCTACTCCCATAAAAAGTTACAATCTTGGATACTCACTGGGGCGGTTCTACATTGGCTGTGAGTCAGAATTGACTCAATGGCAGTGAGTTTGGGCTTTTATTTTTTTTTATTTCTGTAGAGTAGGGTGTGCTGTGAGCCTAATGCCCTTTGGCCCTCTGCTCTACCTGTCTCCTCCCAAACCCAGGGCTTCCTCAAACCAGAGCTGCTGGGCAGTGAATTTACTCACCTTGAGTTCCCCCGCAGAGTTCAGCCCAAGGAGCTGGGGCAGAAGATGCTGTACCGGGACCAGAACATGACCGGCTGGTAACACTTCCCTCCGAGCTGGGGCCTGTTCCTATGGCAACATAACCAGCCCCTCACCAACAGCAGGATGGCAGCTGGAGGCTGGGCCAAGCTGGGTGTGGGGGAAATGCAGCCCTTCTGAGGGGGCTTTCGGTGAGTGGGTTCGGCTCCTTGGGGAGAGGGCCTTTGATGCTTGGATGATGCCTGCTCTACCTCCCTCTCCCCAGGGCCTACAAAAAGATCGAGGTGGAGGACCTCAGGTTTCCTCTGGTCTGTGGGGAGGGCAAAAAGGTAAACTCCCAGGGTAGAGGTGGGAGAGGGCAGGAGGACTCGGCACAACTTGTCTAGGGAGGTGGAGGTTCTACCTGAAGGGATGGGCGGGGTCCATGCTTCCAAAGCCCCCAGGCGAGAGCTATAGCAGCACCTCCTCCCTGTTACCTCCAGGCGAGGGTGATGGCCACCATTGGGGTGACTCGGGGCTTAGGAGACCACAACCTCAAGGTCTGCAGTTCCACCCTGCCCATCAAACCCTTTCTTTCCTGTTTCCCTGAGGTGAGCCCTTACCCACATCTCCATTCCCTCTGGGACTCTTAGGTGGGCTTTTGGCCAGGCTTTTTCTCCCCAAACACTCTGTCCTGCAACCCCGCCCCCCCTTCAGGTGCAAGTGTATGACCTAACACAGTACGAGCACTGCCCGGATGATGTACTGGTGCTGGGAACAGATGGCCTGTGGGATGTCACCAGTGACCACGAAGTAGCTGCCACTGTGGATAAAGTGCTGTCTGCCTATGAGCCCAATGACTCTAGCAGGTAGGACTTCATGGCATAGGGGCTTTGGGAAGGAAGGTGGGCAATTCTTGGGCACCTACCTGTGGGCCCATGTAGCTGTCTGCCCATGTAACTGTCTTCCCATGTACATGAATGTACACATGTGCTCCTGGCAGGTACACAGCTGTGGCCCAAGCTCTGGTCCTGGGGGCCCGGGGTACCCCCCGGGACCGTGGCTGGCGTCTCCCCAACAACAAGCTGGGTTCCGGGGATGACATCTCTGTCTTCGTCATCCCCCTGGGAGGGCCAGGCAGTTACTCCTGAGGGACTCACCCCCATTCGTAGGCCCCCTTCCCCAAGCCTCTCCTTGCGCACCCACTCCAGTCCCCATTCGGAAGGAAGCCACCTCCCTGGCCCTTCTTGAGTGACCACTTCACTGATGAAGTGGGTCGATTAGATCCAAAATTACAGCTATTGACAAATAAATGAGATGGTTAAAGTTGTGTCTGTGTGTATTCTGCCTAAATACCGCTGAGCAGGGAAAGGCTCTGTGGGGTGGTTTGGAACAAAAGCCAGAGTAGCCCTGAAAATGTAGTCCCTGGGCTTTGCCTCTCCCACCGCACACTCCCCTCAGGCCTTCTCAGCCATCTGCTGATGTCGCCACCTACGCACTCTTAGCCCGGACCTCTGCTCAGTGTTAGACACACATCCCAGTTGCCTCCTGAACCTCGAGACACCACAAAGGCCCTTCAGTTCAACATCCCTCACACCGCCCCACGTTCCTTTTACTGATATTTCATATTTCCCTTCCCACCTTAGTCACCGCCTCACTTCTGTAGAGTATTAGCCTCCCAGCTCCTTTCTTTGTCTCCAGGCCTCCTGGAAGTACACTAGGAGCCCAGCAGCCAAGGTGACCTTTCCACAGCATGCGTCTGAGAGGCTTGTTTCCCAGTAAAAACACTTCAGAAGCCTCCTAGTGCACTTAAAACAAAATCCACGCTCAACTCCTAAGCATTTCACAGAAGGACGTTCATGCTCTGACGCTCCTGCACAAAAGCAGTGCATGGGCACCACGTGCGTGCATACACATGCCTGTTGCCATCAAGTCAATTGAGAGACCCTCGAACAATGTTCCAGAGTACACCTGCCCCAGGAGGTTTTTGTGGCTGTAATCTTCCAGGACTCTTTTGAAGCACTGCTGGGTGTGGCTCAAAAGCCAGCCATTAGGGCAAAGGGAAGGCCAAGCCATTTGCAGCCCCCAGGATCCACCTTCAATTCCACTGTCCTGGGGTTTCCGTAGCTGGGCTTGACATATTACTCATTATTTCAGCTCAACACATCGCCTCCCCTGGGTACTTTTTCTAGCCATTTCTGGTTGGGTGTCCCACAGCCCATGCCTGATCCAATCGCAGCAGAGCCTCACTGTATTATACATCTGCGCCGAGTCACTAAGGAGGACCAGTTGAGAGCAGGGGCTCGAGAACCCAGCTGTTTGGGCTCAGGTGCCAAACCCAACACTAGCTTTGCCATTTCTCTGCTGAGCCTTATCATTTGTTTCCTAGTAAAATGAAGATAATGATAGTACTTCCTAAGGATGAAAGTGCCCTATTCTTCCTGCAGAGGAGCCCTGGTGTGCGTAGTGGTTACCTGTTGAGTTGCTAACTGCCGTTCAGAACCACCAGCTGCTCTGCAGAAGAAAGATGAGACTTTTCACTCCCATAGGGACCCACAGGGGCAGTTCTGCCCTGTCCTACAGGGTCACTGTGAGTCAGCATCAACTACAGCAGTGACTTTGGGAGTTCGTGTATTCTACCCTCCGTGTGCCCATGTAAATAACGTGCATGTGTATATAATACACACAGCATGTGAAGGCCATTGATGTGCACGGGGGTTGTGCTGTTTGCAGAAAACATGTATTTGTGTAAAATCCATTATTTAAGAACGCTGTAGTTAATGCATATACAACCAGATTCGAATAACAAGGATTCAACAAATGTTAGCTCCCTTTTAAGTTGTCTGGGCTCCACGGTTCAACTGTTAAGTTCTTTGAAGGAAGAACTCAGCTACTGGTACATAGCTCCACAGTTAATACTCAATAAATGTGTGTGCTTGAGTTTAGAGACCTTGGGGCCAAATTGCTCCTCTAGGCCTCTGTTTCCTCGTTTATTAAACATGTAGGTTGCACCTCACATCTCTAAAGTCTATTACTTTACTAGCTATTCAGCAGGGATTTGTTGGAAGCCTATAATGAGCCCAGCACCGGGTTAGGCAGTAGGAAAGGGACAGGTTTGAGGAGTAAAATAGGCAGTGGGAAGAATACCAGAAAAGGAGTCAGACCAGCCTGGCCTTGAATTCCTGCGCTAACACTTCAGTTTCAGAATTTGTGCCTGCCCCTTACCTTCCCCAAGTCTCAGCTTAAAAAAAATTTTTATTGGCATGTAATTCACATAACCTACAATTCACTAGTTTAATCATATTAAAAGTTGTACAATCATCACCACAATCAGTTTTAGAACATTTTCTTCTTTCTTGTACTCATTGTTATTAGTTCCCCATTTTTTACAACCTCCCTTGCCAGACCCCCAAGAAGCCATTAATCCAGTTACTGCCCCTTGATAAATTTACCTATCCTGGATTTCATATGCAGAAAAACCAGCTTCTTTACAGATAAAAGGAGCTGAGTATTTCTCAGGTTTTTTTTTAATGTAGTCAACTTTATTCTCCTTAAACCACAAAATAGAGTCTTTGGTTGGTATTTTTCAGTTTTATTGGCATATAACACATATCATACAATTCAATAATTTAATCACATCAAGAGTTATACAATCATCACCAATCAGTTTTAGAATATTTTCTTCATTCTTGCACTCATGGTTATTAACTCCTTCATTACCCCCTAACCTCCATTGCCATACTGAAAGACAGTAATTCAGTTACTGTCTCTAGATTTACCTATGCTGGGTTTCATATACAGGAAAACATTAAAATATTTTTTAAAAACTAGACAATAACAACGTTAAAAAGATTAAAACCTTAAGCAGAAAGCTGAAAATACCAAAAGCTAAAACAAATTCAAAATGGATTATAAGGGAGATAAAATGGTAAGGTGTTCAAGTTTAGTCTGCATTTGCAGACAGGTATTCTGAGCCGCTGGGTGGGATACAAAACTGGTAAACCCGCTGCTAATATGGAGGTTCCGGAGGGGAGCCTCAGAAAATCCCGGTGATCCACCTGTGGAAGAAAAACCTAGCCGCTATCAAACACCTTATGAAGCCCGGTTGTACACACACAAGGGGATGGCCTGAATTGAAATCGACTCCCAGGGCAGCGGGTTTTCTCCTTATCCCAAAGATCTCTGGTGAATATTAAAAGGCTGGGACTGTGTAGTTGACGGATCACAGACCACTAACAATGTGTACTTCGGAGTCTTCGCAACAAGGCCGACTAGAGGCACTGGAGAGCGCGCTGGGGATCCGGAAGGGCTTCCAGGAGTGTCCTCAGGGTTAGGGAGGCCTCGGACTCAAGGAAACTCCAGATGGGAAGAATGAAGGGCACTGCGAGGTGCCGGCGGGTCCAGGCTGGGGATGCAGTGCGGCCGTAAGCAGTGGGCGGCGGCAAGCTTCTAAGCGCAGAAGGGGCACCTTCCGCCGGCCTCCACGCGGTGGCCGCCCGGGCCCGCGCCGCCCGCTGGCCGC